CCCAAAATCAGAAGGCCTCATGAATTCTTTAGTGAAAAATCTCTAATAATTGATGTCATAATGGGGGTTGTTTTCATTACAAAATGTCATCTAAATGTTGACAGTCCACTAGATTACCAACCCCAACACCATATTCTTAAATCCCAGTGGCGTCACGAATAAGGGGGTGGGGGGGTGTCGGTCCGGGAGACACTTTTTAGGGGATGACGCCTAATCGATAAATCGTAAACTATATCATCAAAACAATGTTCTATTAAAATAAAGAAACATTTTGACGGGGGAAAGGGAGGGGGGGGGGGGGGATAGTGCAAAACCAAAACTAATAAAATATTGGAGGAGGGGGGGGGGTGACATCCAGTGTGACGACACTGCCGAATTCTCACGCCACATTCCCAGCCCGAGAACTTTATGCCGAACCATGACACCTTATCTCCAACCCCAACACCATATTTCCAACCCTAACACTACACACACAACCCCACTCCATATTCCCAACCCTAACATCACATTCCCAACCCAAACACTACACACACAACCCTAACACCATATTCCCAATTCCAACACCATATTCCCAATACCAACACCATATTACCAAATCCAGTCCAATCCTGACACTGTCCCATGCAATATGGGTGAGTCTGTTGTTGATATTAACCTTTTCGAAATGTTCGTCATTCATACAGAGCGTGCATAATTAATTACTCAAAAATGTTAGTTTGGGATGAAATTCATCTGTTTTGGTCTCTGTGTCATTACCATTTCTATAAAGTTAACTCCCTTGAATAATTATGTTGTTGCCTCCATTCCTCACATTCAGCGGTCATGTTGTTATTACCGAATTAAAATATTCTTAATTTCAATTCATTAATTAGCGTAGCCCTCATGCTAAGAACGAAGGAGAAGACGATATCACAAATAATACATGACGAATCAAAGCAAAAATCTCAAGGAAGAGGCTCTTCAGGACGTGGAGTTTCTTACACTGCTAATTTATTATTATTTGTATCTAGTGTCCACTCTTCCTTACCCCACCCCCATACGCACACGCACACTCACTTACACACACAAACTCACACATACACACGTACACACACAAATACACACACATGGAGGAAGCTTGGTAAATATTTTTTGAATGTTTTAGAGTTGTTTTTTAGCACATGCATCCATGTTTCGGTTTAGATTGTAGGATTTGGGTTTGGTTCGTGTTAAGGTTGTATGATTTAGGTTTGGTTCGGGTTAAGGTTGTAGGGTTTAGGCTTGGTTATGGTTAAGGTTGGATGATTTAGGCTTGGTTAGGGTTTAGGTTGTAGGATTTAGGCTTGGTTAGGGTTAAGGTTGGATGAATTAGGCTTGGTTAGGGTTAAAGTTGTAGGATTTAGACTTGGTAACCAAAGCAATGATTGGAAATAGTTGTGGATTTGTTAGTCAGATATTGACTACAAAAATAGAGTTACCAAACTGGGTATTAAGTTGGCCCCCTGCACGGGACGTTGTAATCGTATGGTAGAGCACACAGTTGCAAAGCCAAACGTCCCGAGTTCGATCCCGAACTCGAGTCCACCCAGCTCTGATGGGTACCTGGCTCATGTTAGGGAAAGTTAATTCGGCTTAACATAGTGCTGACCACACTATCCCTGCATATGCCTGCTTAGGGTTGTGAGTGTAGTGTTAGGGTTGGGAGTGTAGTGTTTGGGTTGGGAGTGTAGTGTTAGTATTGGGAGTGTAGTGTTGGGGTTGGGAGTGTAGTGTAGTGTTAGGGTTGGGTGTGTAGTGTTAGGGTTGGGAGTGTAGTGTTAGGGTTGGGTGTAGTGTACTCTACGAGAGTTGTCGGCTTGTATACCGTCACTGCTGACTTCATAAGGGTCGGTCTAAAAATGAATCGTCTGATAGGGGAAAAAAAACAACTCACGCGCGGAGGATGTTGGGTAATGGCTATTTTTAGGGTGAGCCGCCTGTGGTGCAATTTTCGACAGGTGACCCCCTTCTGCCCGGGGAGGGGGGCTGCCAGGTATGAATGATCCCTGCATGCATTACCTGGCATAAAAACGATGAAAGGGAGAAGATACATTTTTGTGCGGTCGTCCAAGTTTTAAACTGCTAGTCTTTGACCTGTGTAGGCGAGTGGTGAGAGATGGGTGAAGGAAAGTGGTTTCTGGTGAGTACTGGTGGGGGGGGGGGGGGGGCAGGTAAAGTGGTTTCTGGTGAGTACTGGTGGGGGGGGCAGGTAAAGTGGTTTCTGGTGAGTACTGGGGGGGGGCAGGTAAAGTGGTTTCTGGTGAGTACTGGGGGGGGGGGGGGGGTAAAGTGGTTTCTGATGAGTACTGGGGGGGGGGCAGGTAAAGTGGTTTCTGGTGAGAACTGGGGGGGGGGGGCAGGTAAACTGGTTTATGGTGAGTTCTGGTGGGAGCCGGGTAAAGTGGTTTCTGGTTATTACTGGTGGGGGGGGGGGGGGGGGCAGGTAAAGTGTTTTTTCTTGGAAAATGTTTAGGGAAAGGAGTTTTTAGGTTGAGGAAGGTGGGTTTTTTTTTCTTTGTAGCAATGGTGGGGAAATAATTTATCCTGTATATTGGTAGGGGCAAGGTGGTTGTTTACTTTAGTGATGCAAACATAGTTTCTCTTATACAATGTAAAGAGGAGAGGTTTCTTCCGTATATTTTAATAAGTATAGAGGATGGGTTTCTTCTGTATATATTTCAGAAAGTATAAGAAAAGGGTTTCTTCTGTATATTTTTAGAAAGTATAGGTGAAGGGATCTTCTGTATATTTGTGGCAAGAATTACTTCCCCTGTAAAGTTGTGGCAAGAATTACTTCCCCTCTAAAGTTGTGACGCCTTACTTCCCCTCTAAAGAAATAACTTACGCTGCAATCCCAGCCTTTAAGACATTTCCTTTTAGAAAACACTGCATTAAGGTTTTTGACATTCAAAATACATTTTAAACTGAAAAATATGTCTTGATAATTTATTCTGACGTAGAATCTAGATGTAAAGTAGTGACGACATTTATGTCTGGTGTTTTCGTTTTATTTCTATTTTCGGTATCGTTTTATTTCTATTTTCGGTATTCTGATTTTCTACACTCGGGTACTGTAGTGCTGGACTTTTGTTGGCTTTTTAATTAACATTCTATCCACTTTAATTTCTTTCCTACACTTTTGAAAATTGGATGCTCGGTCTAAAGTTGAATCTTTAAATAATAACAATTAAATGTTGACTTCAGGTTGGGTATTTCTTCTGTGTTGATGTGATTTGTGTATCTATGACTAGGTTATCTGTTGATGTTGGTTGTTGGGTATCTATGATTAGGTTATGTGTTGATGTGGTTGTTGTGTATCTATGATTAGGTTATGTGTTGATGTTGGTTGTTGTGTATCTATGATTAGGTTATGTGTTGATGTGGTTGTTGTGTATCTATGATTAGGTTATCTGTTGATGTTGGTTGTTGTGTATCTATGATTAGGTTATGTGTTGATGTGGTTGTTGTGTATCTATGATTAGGTTATGTGTTGATGTTGGTTTGTTATGTATCTATGATTAGGTTATGTGTTGATGTGGTTTGTTGTGTATCTATGATTAGGTTCTGTATTGATGTCGGTTGTTGTGTATCTATGATTAGGTTATCTGTTGATTTTGGTTGTAGGGTATCTATGACTAGGTTATGTTTTGATGTTGGTTATTGGGTATCTATGACTAGGTTATGTGTTGATGTTGGTTGTTGTGTAGCTATGATTAGGTTCTGTGTTGATGTTGGTTGTTGTGTATCTATGATTTGGTTATGTGTTGATGTGGTTTGTTATGTATCTATGACTAGGTTATGTGTTGATGTTGGTTGTTGTGTATCTATGATTAGGTTATGTGTTGATGTGGTTTGTTATGTATCTATGACTAGGTTATGTGTTGATGTTGGTTGTTGTGTAGTTATGATTAGGTTCTGTGTTGATGTTGGTTGTTATGTATCTATGATTAGGTTATCTGTTGATGTTGGCTCGGTTCTGTGTTGACGTGTATGTCTGTGTGTCTGTGTCTCAGTTCTGTGTTGACGTGTATGTCTGTGTGTATGTGTCTCAATTCTGTGTTGACGTGTTTGTCTGTGTGTCTGTGTCTCAGTTCTCTGTTGACGTGTGTGTCTGTGTGTCTGCGTCTCAGTTTTGTGTTGACGTGTTTGTTGTGTATGTACGTGACGCGTGTCGTTCCTGGCCTACTTTCATTTACTCACATCACAAAATGTGGGCCAGGTCCCCTCGTACAAATAGGTCAACGAAATCACGCGAGCCGGTGTTTATTTTTAGAAGACAAACAAAAATGTTTGACACCAGGGGTCGCCATGTGCGGATCATGTGACCTGGGGGTGAGGGGTGAGCGGGGTAGATACCCCACATTTCGCAACACTACTATAGCAGTGTAGTCACATTTTGTGACGCAATCAATCCTCTTGTTTCTCATTCGATAGAACTTCTTGTATTCAAACAATCTATACATATTCCTAGCATTAACCCTAAAACTGTTTTTAACCTTAAATTTAACCGCAAATCGAATAGTTTATATTAATAACTCAAAGGTTTTGATAAACACACTGTCAGATATCAATTAGCGGGAAATTATAAAATATTTAAGTTTACCAAATCTCGGGTCGCTGTAGATTTGCTAGTCATAACACGTACACATATACAAACAAACACACATGCACAGACATAAACAAACACGCATACACTCACATACACACAACCACACATATATCTTTAGTCAAATCATTGATCGCCGGCATATAATTAAAATTAAAAAAAAACAAGTGTATATATTTTATTGCTTAAAATGTTTAAGAAATAACAAAGTAAAATAAATCTAAAACCATCAAGCATGGTGTAGGCCTATGTCTAATGTATAATCTAAGTTTTATGAGCGACTAAAGCTTTTACTCTAGAAAGAAAATTCATCTTATTTTTAGAGCTTTTGAAAGCTTGTTATTATAAATGTTTGTATTTGATTTCTTTATTCCAGATTGATAAACCTTTAGGCGATGAGGGGACAGAAGAAAATCTGGATCCGTCCTTAAAGTCTGCTGTCAATTCTACCTCAGTTTCTGGTGCACCTGTAAGGATGAGGCTGAGATTTTATGCTAATTTTAGGCATAAGTGTGGGGGAGTGGTGTGTTGATGTGAGGTTTAGTACGGTGTGTGGATGTGTTAAACAGTATGGTGATTGTGTTAAATGTAGTTTGTGGATGTTTTAGTTTGTGTGGTGTGTGTGTTTGTTGGTCAATGTCGTTGTGTTAGATTGGATTGTCGTTGTGGTGTGATGTTGGTATGGTCAGTTTAGCTTGTGGTTGTGTGGATCCATGTGGTGTGTGGTTGTTGTGGTCTGTGTGGTGTGTGGTTGTTGTGGTCTATGTGGTGTGTGGTGTGTGGTTGTACTGGTCTGTGTGGTGTGGGGTTGTTGTGGTCTGTGTAGTTGTTATGATCTATGTGGTGTGATTGTTATGGTGTGTGGTGTGTGGTTGTTATGGTGTGTGAGGTGTGTGGTTGTTATGGTCTGTGTGGTATGTGGTTTGCTGGTTAGTTTAACCGTATCTATCAATGTAATATGTGGTTATTATGATGTGGTGTTTAGTTGTGATGGTCAATATTTTGGTTGACTGTTTTGGTTAATACGGCTATATTGATCACTGTAATGTGTGGTTGTGTTATAATGTGATGGTCAATGTTTTGATTGGCTTTGTTATAATGTGGTGTGTGGATAATTTAACGATGTGGTGAGTTTCTGGAATGTTGTGGTTGTGTTATAGTGTGGTGTGTGTATAATTTAACGCTGTGTTGAGTCTCTGAAATGGATGTCCGCAGAAGTTGAAAGAACTACAACGTCTGGCAGTAGAGACGAACGATGCCACACAAAAGACAGAAAGTCTGGAGGCTGAACTGGCTAAGTACAAGGAGAGAGCTAGAGAACTGGAGTTTAAAGTAGAGGAGGTAGGTGTATAGAGGGGTGTGGGGATATGGAGGGGGTGGGGGTAGATGGAGGAGGTAGGTGTATAGAGGGGAGGGGGATATGGAGGGGGGAGGTGGGGTAGATGGAGGAGGTAGGTGTATAGAGGGGTGTGGGGATATGGAGGGGGTGGGGGTAGATGGAGGAGGTAGGTGTATAGAGGGCTGGGGGAGTATGGAGGGAATATAGAGGGGTGGGGGATATGGAGGCGGAACTGGCTAAGTACAAGGAGAGAGCTAGAGAACTGGAGTTTAGTGTAGAGGAGGTAGGTGTATAGATGGGGGATATGGAGGGGGGAGGTGAGGTAGATGGAGGAGGTAGTTTATAGAGGGGTGGGGGATTTGGAGTGGGGAGGTGGGGTAGATGGAGGAGGTAGGTGTATTGAGGGGAGGGGGATATGGAGGGAGGGGTGGGGGTATACGGAGGAGATCGTTGTATAGATAGGTGGGGTAGATAGAGGTAGGTGTATAGTTGTGGGGGGATATGGAGGGGTGGGGTAAATAGAGGATGTAGATGTATAAAGGGGTGGGGGAATGTGGAGGAGGAGGTGGGTTTGGTGGAGGAGGTAATGATAGATAGAGGAGGTGAGGTACAGTGAAGTGGGAGTACATGGTAAGTGGGTCGAACATAGAGGAGGTATCAGAAAATTGAGGGAGGTTGGGGTACATAGAGGGAAAAGGTGGGGGGTAAGTGTGGGAGTAGATAGTAGAGGGGGTTGAACACGGAGGAGGTGGGGGTATATTGTGTGAGGGGATTTACATTAAGGATAACTGGATCAATAAAAGAATGTGAAATATATAGGTGAGGTGATGTAAATTTAGCGAGAGGTTAGTATACAATCAGAATTTATTTATGCGTATATATGTGTACGTGTACATGTATATACTTGTCATAACATATTTGATGAATGATTTATTTCGTTTCGTCATCTTCTGTTAGCATTTCAATGTTGATTTTTTATGGTTTTGATTTCTTCAATAATATTGCTACTAATTTTAGAAAACTGAGGCTGCACAATATAGAATTGTAGTCTTATGAGTAGTTTTAGTTTCCGATAGAATTTAGAAATATATATATATATTCTTAGTCGGAGTATAGTTACTTCTAGAATATAGATTGTTCTGTTATTACTTTAGCACTTTTCTATAGCTAGTTGATGTCAAAGGGCTTTGGAAAATCTCGTTTCTTTAATTTAGAAAATGTATATTATAAAAAATATACGTTGATTTTTCCTTTTAAAAGTAGGCCTAGCTGTTGGTGGAATGTTTTATTTTCATAAATGTTTTTATTTTTAAAAAATCAGGAAAACGTATGTTTCTTTCTAGCCGGTAAGGGGTAGTTCTAAATGTATTTTACCGATATCCGGAAATAAATAATACTTATTTTAAAGAAATCTATCTGACCTAGGTATAATTTTTTATTTTTTTATTTGCATTAGATTGATTAATCAAGCCCATACAAATTACTTTTATAATAAATAGGTATTATTCTTGTGTCTGATGTAGTCAATAATATTAATAGTGTGTCTTTCTATTATTTCTTTGTACATTTTAGAAAAGTACCAAATAGTAATAATTTATAATCAGGTTTAGTATTTATGTTTAAATTTAAATATATCTAGATCCACGCATATGCTAATCGTGTAAAATAATTAAATCTGAGTGGAAATGTATTTATTATAATGGAAGTAGGTAGCGAGTTGCAACTAAAACCGGTAAACATTACAAATGGTAATCCAAGTAATAAAAAAAAAACAAGTATGGTCGAGTTTTTCACAGATTTTAGATTTAAAAAATAGCAGTATTCATTCCCGGCCTTGAATTATTTTAAAGCATAGCAAATTATGTTAAGGTCTAAATATAAATTTAAATGTGTGCGTTAAACCATAGACAGATAGTTTTCAAACGGTTTACCGGGCGTCTAGTACTCTATAAAAATTATTACTATTTGGGATTTCCCCATAGATATTTATAGTTTGAATAAATTTTATTTATACCCGAAATAAACACAAGACTTTCAACCTGTTAAATATAAAAGGAATAAACAAAACAAAAAATGTGTGGGTCATAAAAATTCCTGATTGTAAAAAAAAAACTATTTAATCAACGGCTTTTTTTTTTCGAGTAAATAAATTTAAAAAAAAGATTAAATAAACGTCATAAACTGTGTTACTCAGCGTGCAGCAGAAAACATTAACCCTAACCCAAACCTGCCTTACACACACACACACAACTGCTGACACCATACGAGTGGTTAACACACAATGTTCTCGCTCACATTAACCCCTTAACCCCTGGAAGGCCACCGGGGGGCCACAAGCACTGATTCTCTCTCTGAATGTCTTTCAGTTGCGCCACCACCGCCAGTTGCCTGCAATCCAATGACATTCCTCGGCCTCACCCACCCCTATTTTCATCGCCCGTATTGAAACCATCCAAGCCTTAAACTATGTAGGTTCCATTCTCACCCATATATGTGCTCCCACCTGCTTCTCCTTTCTTTATGCATATATATATATATATATATATATATATATATATATATATATATATATATATATATATATATATATATATAAATATAAATATATATATATATATATATTTATATTTATATATATATTTAAATATATATATACATATGTATGTATATATGTATATATATATATATATTTATATATATATATATATATATATATATATATATATATATATATATATATATATATATATATATATATATATATATATATATACATAACTGCACGTCTGTAGTAGAAATGCATGCCCGCATCAGTCGTTTTTTTTTGTTGCACGCTCACCTTAATGCTGAGTTATGCGTTTTAGTTTAGTTGATTCCAAAATACTAACAATTACATTTTCAATACGATTAGTAATTGTGAAGGAAACTTGTATAAATGTCTGTATATCTTAAAATATAAATGTCTGTATATCTTAATATATGTATATAATATAAGTAAACATAATATAAGAGGGCTACCAGAACTGATGAGCGTTAATAAACAGATTTCAACAGCAAGCTTTTCTACTTACTAGTTTTTTTTACCTTAGGTTAACGTAAAATATGTATGTAGCCTATTCGCATGAGAATTCTCGCACTTATTTTTTTTTAAATCCAAGGGAATTAATCGGTAAAACATTTTTTTTAAAAATAGATCTTAGTTATATACCTTTATTTTTTCTATCAACCGTGGTAGATACTTTTGCATAAATAAATAAATGTTAAAAACTAAATCATTAAACCATTCTTGTTGTTTATCCATTTAAACCGCAACCCCCAACCAAACCTTCAAACCCTTTGTCAAAACATATTACTTTATTAGATAACACTATACAAGATGCATTTCTAACTCTCCAGATCCAATATGCCGTACTCCAACCACCGTTATTAACTTGCATGTGAGTTGTCACTGGTTTCACTAACCGGCATGGACATGGAATAGCATGCATCCACAGGCTGATCTACCTCATTGATCAGCTCACATGGACGGTGCACCGTAGTGTTTCAAACAGCAGTAACTAGCCTATAAGGATTGGTTGAAAGTGTAATACCAAAAAAAAAAACATTTCAAAGATGTAGGCTACTTTATAAGTTATAATTTTAGACTTAATTTTTAAGCCCAAGCCTAGATGTGGAATAAATATATAGGCTATATATATATATATATATATATATATATATATATATATATATATATATATATATATATATATATATATATATATGAATGTATATATAAAATTACCATCGATAAAGTAACTTTACAATAAGTTATCTCTTAGACCTACTTTTTTGACATTTTAACCAATGCATTTTGATAATGATTTAACTTTGATTTTTATTCTTTATTTTTATTTTTATTATTTATATTTTTATACCTGTTAGTGACGTCATTAAATTTTAGACTGCGTCTTTTTTACCACGCCCTTCCTTGTATCGTCAAACAATTTTTCAACAACAAAATTACCCACCCCCCCTTTCTTAAGATTTATACCCATAGTCACTTTAAAACGCTTTACATCACCCTACCCAACCCCTACTCCCTCATCCCATCCCGACTAAGAAAACAGAATTCCAATGTAAAAATATCATGTATTGTCAGTTCTATTTCTCCATCATTCGATACTCCAATTCAGAGTTTCTTCCAGGCATCTCTTCAGAAGTCTACCGCCCCTTTCCCCCCCCCCCCCCGAATGAAATGGAATTTATATAGAAAATATATACTGTTAACAGTGGTCCGCCCCCCCCCCCGGAAATTTTAGTCAGCTACCCGAAAATTTCAAGTGCCCCCTTCTCCCCCCCCCCCCCCCCCACCCCCTGGAGAAAAAAGTCTGGAAGAAACACGGCTCCAATTGTTTGAAAACAATTGCCTTCAAGGTATCATATCTCTATAAACGTCAAAATTTTCCTCCCCTGCCAATCACCCCCCCCCCCCCACCCCAATCTAACACCCTGGTTTGTGACACGTGACATTTGAAAAAGTGACGATTTTAATTTGTAATACTGACAAAATGAATTTTGACTGTGTAAACCAGGGGTCTCCAAACTACGGCCCGCGGGCCGGATGCGGCCCGCGAGGTCCTCTCATCCGGCCCGCGGAGATCTTTTTGTTCACGTGTTCACGGAAAAATTGTTTGTTGGAGGTGGCTGTGGAACTTTGCCCAGAAAATTGAAAAAATTTGAAAATATAGCTTTGGGTGCAAATACCATTGCCCGCCGTGTTGCAGACATTGGTGAAAACATTGTGACTCAAATAGCGAAAAATGCAAGCAAGTTTCGCCATTTTTCAATTGCAATGGATTAGTCGCTGGGCAGCTGTTCCACATCTCAATTGTTTATGTTCATTAGAGGTGTGGATAAAAACATGGACATAACACAAGAGCTGGCTTGCCTAAATAGCATGTGTGGCTCTGTTACCGGAGATGATATATTCAATCAGTTAAAAAGGGAATAGCTGATTATAACTTTGACTGGACTAACATAAGTGGCATTAAGAAAGGCTTGGTTGGACAAGCGAATGAGAAAAAACATTATAAAACCAATGTTCTTGCACTGTATTATTCACCAGCAAGCTTTGTGTGCTAAATAGTGGACATTAGCAGTGTACTGAATCCTGTATACCTCGAGAGAGTTGTCGACAGTGTTTCTTTCAGACTTTTTTATCCGGGGAGAGGGAGGGAGGAACTTGAAATTTGTATATATTTCTATATAAATTATATTTCGTCGGGGGGGGGGGCGCTCCGCCCTATCGAAGAGGTGCCTGGAAGAAACTCTGGCCCCCGAACTGATATTTGATAGCTAATGCGGCCCTCGGGCTGAAAAGTTTGGAGACCCCTGGTGTAAACTATAAAAAAATATATATTTCTTTTTTAGTTACCGCCCTTTGTTTAAATATCTTACTTACATCCGTTAGTCACTGTATTTAAAAAAAAACTTGTAACAGTGTTTTGATTTTTTTATCCCAACAGTTGAATGACATTTTGAAATCACAAAGCGCAGCATCGGATAAAGAGAAACAGGAATTAGAAACTCAGCTGAAACAAAGAACAAAAGACGTGAGTCTGTTGGAGGAGACGATAGAGACGCTTAAACTGGAGCTATGTGCTAACCTGAAGATGATCGCAGAACAGGAAGTGACGCTACGCGAGAAGGAACACGCGCTGGCTAAACAAGCTGACGTTGTCAAGGACAACGAAGGCGAAAACAAACGCCGGGAGTTGGATCATCAATCTCTGATGAACCAAATCTCGCAACGAGACGGGACGATACGTAACTTACACGAGACTTTACGGATAAGAGACGAGAGGTTAAAAGAAAAAGACGATATTTTGTTTAAGTTGAACTCGTGTATTGAAGATCATAAAAACGAGATGCGACACCTCGGGGAAAAACTTCACAAGGCGTCTTTGCTTGTCAGCGAGAAGGACGCCATGATTTCGGTTCTTCGAGGTCAAATTTCGAGTTCGTCGGTCATGTCACGTGACGCGCCAGCGTCGTGTCAGACGGACGCGGAGAAGGAGGGGTTCCGGTTGAAGGAGGCGCTCAACAGTCTGCAGTTGGAGCTGGATACGGTGGCTGGGGAGAAGAAGGCGGCGGATGAGAGTCTGGAGAAGGCGAGGAGAGCGTTGGACGAGGCGATGTTTATGTGGGACAGGGAGAGGAATGAGCTGCAGGTCAGTCCATTGGATGGATGATGGGGGGGGGGGGGGGGGCAGTCCATTGGATGGATGATGGGGGGGGGGGGGGGCAGAGTCCATTTGATGGATGAAAGGGGGGGGGCAGAGTCCATTAGATTGATGATGGGGGGGGGGCAGAGTCCATTAGATTGATGATGGGGGGGGGGGGGGCAGAGTCCATTTGATGGATGAAAGGGGGGGGGGCAGAGTCCATTAGATTGATGATGGGGGGGGGGGCAGAGTCCATTAGATTGATGATGGGGGGGCAGAGTCCATTAGGTGGATGAAGGGGGGGGGGGGGCAGAGTCCATTAGATTGATGATGGGGGGGGGGGGGCAGAGTCCATTAGGTGAATGAAGGGGGGGGCAGAGTCTATTTGCTGGATGAAGGGGGGGGGCAGAGTCCATTAGGTGGATGAAGGGGGGGGGCAGAGTCTATTTGCTGGATGAAGGGGGGGGCAGAGTCCATTAGATTGATGATGGGGGGAGGCAGGTTGAGGGAGTACAGTAGTTGTATAAGGAGGGTCAGGTACACCATTTGCTTATATTTATAGGGAGGTCAGGCTAGACTTCCGAGAAGTCCATTATTATATAGGGGATCACGATAGTCTTTAGAGGAGTCCAGTTATTTTTAATGAGGTCAGGTTAGACTTTAGTAAAAATCTATTAGAGTTTGATAAAAAAAAAGTCCTGATTTCGGTTGTATTAATTGTGGAAGAAATATATTACAAAAAAATATATTAATCAAAATCTATAAAGATTTTTTTATTTCTTAAAATTGCTTCCTTATCATTCAAAAATTTACTCGTTGTTTTTGTGCTCCATGTTTTTATATCCTATAATTTTTCTCGTATTTCATAAATGTACTTAAATTTTGATGATCTTAATTTATAAATGACATGCACTGATTTTCTAAAACATATAAACTTTTCTTGTCATACCTTGTTTTATTAAAAAAACTTTATTATCTGTATACGATCTCTCCTATAACCTTAACCCAACCTTGTGACCCCCACACAGAAGGAGGCGAACATTCTAGAAGAGAAGGTTCGCATGTACGAGTGCTACAACACCATGGGTAAAGACGAGACGATTGAGACGCTCAAAGAAGAGGCTCAGGGTTACTTCAATGAGAAGGAAGCTCTTGTGTGTGAGCTGAGCTCAATTAAGCTCAAGGCCGAGTCCGCGGATAGGATACATAAGGAACAGATGGCTAAGTTGCAGGTGGGTGGACTTGAGGTGTTATGTGGCCAACAAGGTTATGGGTTAATTTATATTAGGGGGTCGTTATATTACATAGGCTGCTGTAATGAGCTTTCCTGAGGGTTCTTAAGTTTCTCAAACTGACCCCTATGGTACCCGTCTTCCTTACCTTAGTTTCTCAAACTAACCCCTATGGCCCCCGTCTACTTAGTTTCTCAAACTGACCCCTATGGTACCCGTCTTCCTTACCTTAGTTTCTCAAACTGACCCCTATGGTACCCGTCTTCCTTTTACTAGTTTCTCAAACTAACCCTTATGGCCCCCGTCTACTTAGTTTCTCAAACTGACCCCTATGGCCCCGTCTACTTAGTTTCTCAAACTGACCCCTATGGCCCCCGTCTACTTAGTTTCTCAAACTGACCCATATGGCACCCGTCTATCTTTTACTAGTTTTTCAAACTTTCTCCAGGAGTGCTCTGTCTTTCTTCTCATACCTGCAGATCTTTATTGGCCTTACAATATTTCGTTTGCTCTGGGGATTCCAAAACTTCTAAAGAGCCGGGGGAAAGACTAGGGGCCCCAAATTTTAGGGACCAAAAATTGTGTAGAGGGGAAAATATCTTCGCTCTAGCAAAACCCATCCATACACATATAGCATACCGCCTATGTGTGTACTGACTGAGACCTTAGGTTGGAACATCAAGCATACTTGTGATTATCTTTTATTTCTTACTTGGGTTCATAGGGATAAAAAAAAACACTATTATCTAAAGCTGGGTAAATGTCTGCGTGTTTGTCATACTTCCCCGTATTCTTATTTATTTAACGTGATGTATTTTAAATACGCAGTCAAGAAAGATAAATATCAATTCTGGATGTCTTATTTTTAAAAAAAAACGACAGGGGGTGGGGGAGTTACATAATTTTGACAAACGTGACGTCAGTCAGGTTGATTGCCCTCTTGACAAGCTGGTTAACTGGTTTTCTCTCGGTATCTTTCTCCCATTATCTCATTCATTCTTTCTCTTCTATCTTATTCTTTCTGTCCCTCTATTTTTTCCCCAATACCCTCTTCTCTATTTCCGTCCTTTGACTCTCTCAACCTCTATCTTACACTCACTCTCTTTCCCTATTTCCACCCCACTCCCCTCTTTTTCAATATTCCACACTTTCTTTTCTCTCACCATCGTCCCCTCCACTCTCTGCTTCTCTCATTTGTCTATAACAACCTCTCTCCTTTCTTGATTCTCTATCCTTCCTCCATCCCTCCCTACGTCTCTTTCTCCCTCCCCCCTGCTTATCTATAACACCCCCCAACCTTTCATGTAGTGATAACCCCAGCTGAACACCTTCACTGCATCCCTTGCACTCTCTGTCTTTAAAAGCCTCTCTTCCTACATGTTTCTCTATCCCTCCTCTCTCCCTCTTTAGCCTTCTTCACTCCCCCCTCACCCCTAGTGCTTGTCTCTCAACCCCCCCCCCCCCCCATCTTTCATGTAGTGATAACCCCAGCTGAACACCTTCCCTGCATCCATTGCACATTCCCACCTTCGTCACTGTCACAACAAGACGTTGCTATGACAACAGGGGAGATCACTCTCATATTTTTAGCAGCAGACAAGCATTTATCATTGCCTCAAAAGCAGACGGTTGTTACAAAAAGACGTTGTTTTTTTCTGGGAGGGGGGGGGGGGGGGGGGGGGTTAAGGTATATTTTCGCGGTCATTGTGCTCTGTAAGACATGTTGGGCAGAGCGGAATTTTGATGTATGTGTATGATGGAGAAATATAAGAATGTATGTGGGGAGGAGAGTGTTAGGGTTTTGAGTGTGATCAGTTGACTTGGGTTGGAGAGTGTGTTGGAGGGTGTGTTGGAGGGTGTGCTGGATCGGGTGTTTTTTCAAAGTGTGTTGTGTTGAGATGTGTAGTGTTGCAGTCGTGTGTTTTGGTGTGCTCTGACGTGTGTAAATGTGTTGTTTTTGTGGAAAGCCTAAAGACCATAGAACATGATAACAGTTTAAAGAAGGGTCTAGGGGGTGGAGCATCTTTTGGCTCCTACTTCCTCTAACCAAATAGCTAAGACTAGATCCACTGGCAATAATGCTTATCGTTGACACTGAGACATTTACGAATGAGAATCTGACAAATCATAGTTCAACTAAAGTTACTGTAAGACTTAGATTGTTACAAACGTCCCTAACCATTCCCCCTCAGGCCGAGCTAACGGAAAAGTTGCGTCTGCTCAAGATGGAGGTGGACAACAGCAGCCACATGAACACAGAGATGGAGAGGCTGAGGAGACAGGTGGGCTTATGTTGTAGGGCTTGGTTTGGGAGACAGGTGGGCTTGTGTTATATAACTGTCTCTTAGAGAGAGAGAGGTGGGCTTGTATTTTATAGCTGTCTTTTGGGGCTTGGTTCGGGTTTGTATTTTGTAGCTGTCTTTAAGGGTTAGCCGGACCGTATACTACAGCTTCCTTTGGGTAGGGTAAAGGTTATGTAGGGTTTTTATTTTTAAAATCTCGTTTACGGTTAACGATCAGAACATAATAGACTAGAATCACATATCCTACCCATCAGAGCTGGGTGAAGTAGAGTTAGGTACCCATCAGAATTGGGTCGACAAGAGTCAGGTAACCGAGCTAAGATACGCCTTATAGCTTATATTGCGTGTAGCGTCTAGCGTGTAACACTGGGGTCTCTAATGTCAAAACTGACCAGCGGTTCTTGACCACCAGGCGGAGATGGCCTACAGACTCCAGCAGGAGCACCGTGTCCTCAAGGCCGAGCACCTGGCCATCAAGGTCAGGTACGAGACGCGCATCGACAAGATGAGTAAAGAACAGAACAAAATGGTGAGTACTTCATTCTCGTGCATTTTTCTGTTTAGAAACATAATGTAGTTTTATAGTTTTGTTACTTTTATCCCATTTATCATTGTTTATGATAGGCCGAAAGAGCTGTGTGTGGAATATAGAAACTTCCGGAATTTTCGACAGGGTGTATCAAATCTATTTTTGGTCCAACCTTAATATAAGCCCTAATCTTTACCAAAACACTACCCATATACTTAAACATAACCCTTATGTACAGTATGTGTGGGCAGCACTTAGCTTACCTTAATTGACCTATCATAGTTGAAGTGGCTATTCAATCGCCGAACACAGAAAAATGGAATTGAAAGCATTTGACGAAAGTATGCCTTTAAAACACAAAAATTGTATAAACTTAACATAGCATACGTAGACTGTTGCATATAATTAATAAAACAATGCGCGCAATTTACTGTCAATGAAGACAAACATTTTCCGAACCAAAACAAAACAACAGCACACTTTTTTTAAAATACCATAAATAATTTACAAAACGAAAAGTATATAAAAACTGTCAGTAAACCTAACCTACACAACACACTAACTGTCACTAACCTAAACCCTAATCTACACAACACACTGTCACTAACCTAAACCCTAACCTACACAATACACTAACTGTCACTAACCTAAACCCAGCGAGTTACAACTTGAGTCCACCTATGTCCTCAGCTTCTGACCATCGAGAAGCTTCAGAAGGAACACGACCTAGACAAACAGATTATCCAGGGGATACAGAAGAACCTCAGCCTCGTCAAGGACAAGTACACAGAGGAACTTCTCAGGTCTGATGAGGACAAAGTGTCTTTACAGAGACAGTTGAAGGAGGTGAGGCAACTGTGGCAAGTTATATATATATAATATATATATATATATATATATATATATATATATATATATATATATATATATATATATATATATATATATATATATATATTTATATTTATATTTATATTTATATTTATATTTATATTTATATTTATATTTATATTTATATTTATATTTATATTTATATTTATATTTATATTTATATTTATATATATAGTATAATATGTTGGTGTATGTATGAGTGTCTTTGTGTGACTGTGTATCTCTCTGTGTGCCTGTATATGTGTGTGTCTGTATGTGTCTGTGTGCATGTGTGCCGAACCAGGGGGTCCACAGGCAGGTGAAGTGGAGTTAACTTTTTCTGTGACCTTTTCACATGAACAGATAGTGTTGTCATATATATAAATGTGTGTGTGTGTGTATAATCTTCTGTACCTGCATTGAGTGTATTTGGATGTGTGTGACGTGTGTTTCACCTGTGCAGATTGAAGAGTCACGTGGACACCTGGAGGAGCTACAGAAGCACATCCGGGACCTGCGTGAGAAGACGATTGACCAGGACAGGCTGAGATCGGAGCTCATCAACAAGTTCGCCATGGACAGGTCAGGCTGGGAGATCGAGAGGGCCAACCTCAACAGCCATATCAATCAGGTGGGTCAAGGTCAGGGGTCATTTCAGTCAGGGGTCAAGGTCATACGGTTATATTCAATACGGGGGTCAAAGTCATGAGATATATCAAAAAGGTTTGTCAATGTCATGGGGGTCAGATGGGTCAAGGTCATACGGCTATGTTCAATACGGGGGTCATGTCAGGGGGTTATTTCAGTCGGTGGGTCAAGGTCATTGGGTGATAACTCATACGGGGGTCAAGGTCAGTGGATATATTAAAAGGTGGGTCAAGGTCAGGGTTTATATCAGTCAGCTGGGTCATGGTCAGGAGAACATATCAGTCTGGTCGGTCAAGGTTAGGGGTTTATAGAAATCGTAGGTCAAAGTCTGCCGGGGGGGAAGAGGCATATACATCAGGAAATTCAAGGTCTGAGATCATATCAATGAGGTGGGTCATATTAATCAGGTTGGTCAAGGTCTTTGATGGTATATTTAAACCAGGTGGGTCATAAAAATTGTGATTTGAGTATCGTTTATGTACATGGTTGACTGTCACGCTGTTAACAACGATAACTGTAAAGCTGTTTAGTCTGGATTATTGCAGATAACCTTTAACCTTTATTATTGTAAAGCTGTTTAGTCTGGATTATTGTAAATATGTTCAACCTTTATTATTGTAAAGCTGTTTGTTTACAGCTGGAGGAGCAGCTGTCCTGCACGTCCAGACAACAGGAAAGGTCAAAGGACATCCAGGTCAACATGGGCATGGCCTGGGAGAAGGAGAGGCGTGAGCAGAGGCGTCTTCTGGGTGAGGCGCACACTCTGGCGCTAGATTTACAGGTAAGACGTTCTTAGATTTACAGGTAAGATGTTCTTAGATTTACAGGTAAGACGTTCTTAGATTTACAGGTAAGATGTTCTTTGATTTACAGGTAAGATGTTCTTAGATTTACAGGTAAGACGTTCTTAGATTTACAGGTAAGTTGTTCTTAGATTTACAGGTAAGACGTTCTTAGATTTACAGGTAAGATGTTCTTAGAATTACAGGTAACGGGCTCTCAGATTTACAGCTAAGACGATCTTAGATTTACAGGTAAGATGTTCTTAGATTTACAGGTAAGACGTTCTTAGATTTACAGGTAGCGCACTCACACTCTCCCTAGATTTACAGGTAATGTGTTCACACTCAGGTGCTAGATTTATAGGAAACACGCTAATAGATTTACAGATTAGACGCTCTTATTCTTATAAAAACAGGCATGACTCTTGATGTTTAGATGTAAAAAAGAAGGTTTTTACCTGCAATGATAGATTTACAGGCTCTTCGATTTACTGTTAGCACACTTAGATTTACTAGTAACGTGAATGTAGAGCCACTGGAAACACTTCACATGACACGGTATCAAAGTATTTATTTTTAATGTACTAGTTAGGTACGTGTGTGACCCTATGGTACCTGATTGTACAAAGTTCTATCTGTGTGCCTTTTCATGGTCTGTTGCGATAGGTCTCCTCGTTTAACCCTTTAGATCCTGGTCATACAATGTTCTATCTGTATGTCTCCTGATCCCTCCCCCCCCCCCCCCCCCCGATGTATTGATTTGGTCACATTTAACCCTTTAGATCCTGGTCATACAATGCTCTAGTTGTATGTATAGTTATCCACTCAAACTGTTATGGTACTCATTTAACCCTTTTAAATCCGGGTCACACGATGTTCTATCTGTATGTCTTCTTGTCCCCCCCCCCCCCCCCCCCAATGTATTGATTTGGTCACATTTAACCCTTTAACTCCTGGTCATACAATGCTCTAGTTGTATGTATAGTTATCCACTCAAACTGTTATGGTACTCATTTAACCCTTTTAAATCCGGGTCATACGATGTTCTATCTGTATGTCTTCTCCCCCCCCCCCCCCCCCAATGTATTGATTTGGTCACATTTAACCCTTTAACTCCTGGTCATACAATGCTCTAGTTGTATGTATAGTTATCCACTCAAACTGTTATGGTACTCATTTAACCCTTTAGATCCTGGTCATACAATGCTCTAGTTGAATGTCTCCTGATCCCTCCCCCCCCCCCCCCACAATGTATTGATTTGGTCACATTTAACCCTTTAACTCCTGGTCATACAATGCTCTTGTGGTATGTATAGTTATCCACTCAAACTGTTATGGTACTCATTTAACCCTTTTAAATCCGGGTCACACGATGTTCTATCTGTATGTCTTCTGATCCTCCCCCCCCCCCCCCCCCCCAATGTATGGATTTGGTCACATTTAATAATTTAACCCTTTAGACCCTGGCCATAGAATGTTCTATCTGTATATTATTTTATGCCCATATACTGTTATGGCACCTACTTAATCCCTTGATACCCGGCCACAAAAAAACGGCATTTGTATGTCTTGTCTTCCATAGGAACAGCTGAGATCTCGCGAAGAAACGTCAGCCCACGAGAGGAAGGAGTTAATCCGTCAGATGGAGAGTGACCGTCTCACTTTCGCCAAGATGACTAAGGAAACGGAGAAAAGAATGACGGAAGTAAGGGCAACAACTCTCTCATTTTCTGTGTGTGTGTTCATTTAAAGTTTATTTCATCAATCAGAATGTATCAATCGCGCTAAAATATTTTAAAATTATTTTTTTAAATGAGGTTTTAAAATTATTCGCTATAGAAGTTAAAATTTTTGTTACAACATTTGAAATTAATTAACGCTTTCTTTATATTTAGTTTTAAAATGCCTGAAAGATCTAAAGTTTTTTTTAATATGTTATGCACTTGATGTCTTGTAAGTATATTACATTCAGTTTTCCAAAGTCTAACCGAGATATCGTATTAAAAGAAACCAAAAAAATAAAAAAATAAAAAAAAAATTTTAAAAAAAAATTAAAAATTAAAAGAAACCGAGTTTGCACACCTTAGATTAGACTAATTCTTATGCCATTTTATTTTCTCCATTTCATCACTATATATGCTATTATCATGTCTTTAATGCTATGTAAAACGGAAAAAGAGAAAACAAGTAATTAAAAAAAGTCTAGTGACAATTTTAGCGCAATTTCCTTATGTTATCTAAAAATAGCTCTGTCGTTGCGTAAATCAAGAGCAGGGTTAGTAAAACCATTGGTTAGTTATTAAAACGTTATTAAAACGTTTTTTATTAAAAAAAATTTCAGTATTTTACATGTTTTATTTACAACTAGCCGTCCCGGCCAGGCCCTGCTCTGGCTTCTGTTAAAAACCTTTCTGTTAAAGACCATTACCTGTGTGTTTAGTAATCATCATAAACCCGGCATTGCCCACCCAAACCACAACCAACCAAAACAACAAAACGCAAACATAACGCTAACACAATTACAAATACAAACGAAAACAAAAACCTAACAACAAACCCAACCACAACCACAAACACCAATACAAACACAAAGAAAAAACAAACAAAAAAGCAAACGAAAACAAAAACCTAACAACAAACCCAACCACAACCACAAACACCAATACAAACACAAACAAAAAACAAACAAAAAAGCAAACGAAAACAAAAACCTACCAACAAACCCAACCACAAACACCAATACCAACAAAAAAAAACGAAAAAGCAAACGAAAACAAACCAAATCCAAACTCAAAACCAACCAAAAACACAAATACAAACCCAAACAAAAAAACACAAACAAAAACGAAAAAAGAAAGAACAAAAACGAACCAAATCAAAACGCAACCACTAACGCAAACCCACCTAAATACAAAGAAAACACTAACGCGAACATAAACGCCCGGGGCGGAATCACCTGTTTTAGCTTAATGAACGACTATAGTACCCCAACTTATTCATAGTCTTTTGCACTCACTTAAAACGAACGCGCCTGTTTCAATTTAATGAACAATTTTAATACTCCAAACTTATCCGTAAAATACCTACAACATTTGCACTTGATCAATCCCCGCTAATTATGTAATTATTTTTTTTTCCAACACTAAAACAAAGTAATTAAAAAGTAATTTCTTTTCCACAAATGCAATGGTTTTATAAAGGGAAGTAATTGTGTTTTCCCTAATTTATCAAAGGGAAGTAAGTGCTATAGGACTAAATAAAGACATAATTAGAATTTTTGTAAAAGATGATATTTTTTTAAAACTTGTGTTTAATGAACATGCCGACAATTATTACTATAATTTGAAAAATGAAAATTATTTCCCAACACTTTCAATAGTAATTTTTTAACTCATAAATTTAGACAAATGCGCACGATGATTGTCTAACACTTAAATCCATCCAAGACCAACGACAAACATATGCGTTACATACAGAACTGAGCTTTATATATTAGATAGAGTAACATTACTAAAAACCATTGCAGCTATTGAACGTGATGACGCGTGTGGTGTGGTTGGATAAAATGCCTACTAATTCGGTCCAAATTTTAATTAATTCAAAAAAAATTTTGTGACCGAACGAAAGGATATTTTTGAAAACTTTCTGCGGCAATATTGTTCTAAATTATGGCAGGAATCGATTGGTACATGTTTCAAGTCGCTAATTGGTCTGGTTGCCGAGATATAGGCCAAAAACTGCATTTTTTTCGAGGTTTTTTGGCTTTTCCGGAAAATCCATGAAAGAAACCCGGAATTTGTTTGGCCTATGTTCATCCTGGTAACTTGCTTAACATAATTGCTTTTGGAACTAGTCATCGATATTGCTTCGTTGAGGAGGAGATACGACTTAAAGCCCGGACACACATTCCCAGAAAAGACGAGTTAATAAACGCAATTCTTCAGAATGGAAATTGCGCTAAAAAAATGTGATATCATGTTACAACATTTGATATTGTGTTATGCTGCGTATTGTGATATTTGATTTCATCCTGTGCTGGGTAAAAGTACGTTACCCCATAGTGCAAATGAAGTAGAGTTCATCTGCTTCTGATGTTATGAAAAATAAAGTATGTTGTGTGTTTATTTAAATCTCATACCAACTTTTGATGAGCTGCTTCCGTGACCTCCGCTTATGAAAAGATAGTAGACTATGTTCAGTTCTATTCCTATCCGCGTTTACTTCCCCTTGACATGAGTCATGTACCTTGAGTAGACTCATGAGCGTCCAAACCCGAGACTTTCAAGCTAGCGTTCGTGCGCTCTACCCCCCAACCGCTCTATACCACGTATTACCATGTCATTATTTTGTCATGAGATGTCATGTGATGTCATGTTTCTCCTCAGCTGGAGTCGTCAGTGAGAACGATGGCCACACTACAGAAGAGACTGAAAGAACTGCAGGAGAAATCTGAGAGAGACAACGAGTTCTGGCAGAAGGAGAAGACAGACTTGATACGTCTTCTAGCTCAGTCTAGGCACTCCCATGCTAGGGACGTCAAGGCTATAGAGGACGTCATTAGTGGGGTAAGTGGACGTCATACGTCTTCTGGCTCAGTCTAGGCACTCGCATGCTAGGGACGTCAAGGCTATAGAGGACGTCATTAGTGGGGTAAGTTGACGTCATACGTTTTCTGGCTCATTCTAGGCACTCACATGCTAGGGACGTCAAGGCTATAAAGGACGTCATTAGTGGGGTAAGTGGAGAGACGTCATACGTCTTCTGGCTCAGTCTAGGCACTCTCATGCTAGGGACGTCAAGGCTATAGAGGACGTCATTAGTGGGGTAAGTGGAGAGACGTCATACGTCTTCTGGCTCAGTCTAGGCATTCACATGATAGGGACGTCAAGGCTATAGAAGACTTAGTGGGGTAAGTGGACAGACGTCATACGTCTTCTGGCTCAGTCTAGGCACTCTCATGCTAGGGACGTCAAGGCTATAGAGGACGTCATTAGTGGGGTAAGTTGACGTCATACGTTTTCTGGCTCATTCTAGGCATTCACATGCTAGGGACGTCAAGGCTATAAAGGACGTCATTAGTGGGGTAAGTGGACAGACGTCATACGTCTGCTGACGTCATACGTATTCTGGCTCATTCTAGCACACATGCTAGAGACGTGGAGGTGTGGGATGGGGTGAGAAGGTGCGTGGTTGGCAAAATATGAGGTGGATAGAGAGGATATTGAGTGGCAAATTAGTGCTATTGTGTGGGATGGTGTAGGAGGATCATGATATGGGGTGCGGTGGACGTGATACGGCGTGGGAAGAGAGGGGGTACTGGAAAAATATATACTTTTACCAGTGTTCGACCCCACCCCCCATTCCCCCCCCCACCCCCAACCCCCATTCCCCCCCCCCCCCCCCCACACACCCCCACCCCCCCACTCCGAAAAAAATTCTGAAAACATTTATCGGGTGAATGTGGTATGTTTGTAGGTAAGAGATGAGTATGGGGGTTGGGAGTAATATGAGATGGGGATGGTGGTTTCAGATGAGGGTATGATGGAGTGGTATGGGCACTTTTATCCACGCAAGTACACGCTATATACGCCACAACCCATAAAACACAGACCACTTCTTACACCACATAATAACTACAACCTACACTACACACACATCAGTACCCCACATTCTCTACTCAATATTGACACCTGACAAAATACCATTTCAACCCATCATCCTCACACTTCAAATGAACACATCACAAACGATGGTCAATCGTAAGTAATTTAAAATTACTTAGTCATTAAGATTTATTCAGGATCTCTTTTGTTACAAGCAGGTGGTTGATTACATGATTAACTGTACACTGTCATTTAGCTGATGTGATGTGTGATATGTAAACGATTCACTTTTCTCTGTCTGCAGTTGATCCGGCTCCGGGAGCTGGGAATGATGTTAAAGCTACAGCCCAGAGGTCCTATGGAGGAGAAGCCTCCCGACATTGAGCAGGTAGATGGGAGGGGGGATTTCAGAGTATGGGTGGTATGTCTAGGTATAAGGGAGGGGTCAGAGTATAAGAGAGTGGGTGAGTCAAAGTATGGGGGAGTGGGTGTGTCAAAGTAGGGGGAGTGGGTGTGTCTAAGTAGATGGTGGTGGGTGTGTCTAGAAAGGAGTGGGTGTGTCGAAGTAGGGGGAGTGGGTGTGTCTAAGTAGATGCTGGTGGGTGTTTCTAGAAAGTAGTGGGTGTGTATTAGTAGAGGGTGGTGGGTGTGCCTAGAAAGGAGTGGGTGGGTCTAAGTGGATGGTGGTGGGTGTGTCTAGAAAGGAGTGGGTGTGTCTAAGTAGATGGTGGTGGGTGTGTCTAAAAGGGAGTGGTTGTGTCTAAGTAGAGGGTGGTGGGTGTGTCTATAAGGGAGTGGGTGTGTCTAAGTAGAGGGTGGTGGGTATGTCTAGAAAGGAGTGGGTGTGTCTAAGTAGATGGTGGTGGGTTTGTCTAGAAAGGAGTGGGTGTGTCTAAGTAGATGGTGGTGGGTTTGTCTATAAGGGAGTGGGTGTGTCCAAGTAGATGGTGGTGGGTGTGTTTAGAAGGGAGTGGGTGTGTCCAAGTAGATGGTGGTGGGTGTGTTTAGAAGGGAGTGGGTGTGTCCAAGTAGAGGGTGGTGGGTGTGTTTAGAAGGGAGTGGGTGTGTCCAAGTAGATGGTGGTGGGTGTGTTTAGAAGGGAGTGGGTGTGTCCAAGTAGAGGGTGGTGGGTGTGTCTAGAAAGAAGTGGGTGTGTCTAAGTAGATGGTGGTGGGTGTGTCTAAAAGGGTGTGGGTGTGTAAGTAGATGGTGGTGGGTGTGTCTAAAGAGAGTGGGTGTGTCTAAGTAGAGGGTGGTGGGTGTGTCTATAAGGGAGTGGGTGTGTCTAAGTAGAGGGTGGTGGGTGTGTCTAAAAAGAGTGGGTATGCATATGTAGAGTCGCGTGGGTGGGCTAGGTAGAGGGGCGTGTTCGGATAGCAGGAAGTGGGTACACCCTAGCTTAATGGGTGGGTGTTAGTGTCAACGATGTCTACTCCATGTGTTATCAGTACTAAATTAATATTGAACTTTTCTTTTATTTCTCACAGCAGAACATTCTAGACTTTGTCAAGGAGGTAAGCAAATTGTACACTTTTACCTGTGTTGGGGAGGGGGGGGGGGGGGGGGGCGGGGTGACGGAAATCTATTTATAGTAACAGTAGGTAACGTATTCATATTAACTTACATGTCACAGTACTGACGTTAAAATCACGATATGGTTGTATTATAAAAAGTGTCTTATGTTATTTTTCAGGCCCTGAATCAAATTTGCAGAGCTGCTGATGATTTGATAAATATCGCGAATCCCACAACAGATGAAGGGGCCATCAAAAGGTTGGTATGAGCCTTTAAATGAATAGGACATACTACGCAGTGTGTTATGAAAAATAAAGTTTGTTGTATATGATGCGGTATTGGTAAGAAAATGAAAATGAGATAATTGAATGGCGCTATTTTTGTAATGTTGGGATTTTAGGGTGGTAGTTGATGTTAAAGTTGTCAGCACTATACCCAGCCGCCTTTGTTTCCCTAACGTGAGTTAAGCACCCGTAAGAGTTGGGTAGACTCAGGGACGTTTCACTGAATTAAACCCGGATTCAAAACGCGAGCTTTTGGGTTAGCAGTTTTAAACTTTGAGGGAAGAAAAATAATCAACTGCGTTCAGATTGTTTTAGAATCAGAGGCGTAGCTAGGGCGAGGGCGGGGGGTCCACATGTCCCCGGGTGCCGACCTTATGGGGCGCCAAAATGGGTTGGAATAATAAATTGAAATCTTGAGGGGGTGGTGCAAATCGAAAGTTTGAGAGGGGGGTGCAAATCGAAAGCTTGAGGAGGGGTGCAAATCGAAAGTTTGTCCCCGGGCGCCGGGAAGGGTCGCTACGCCTCTGTCTAGAATTAACGTCATTTAAATAAAGTAATTCATATTTTGAAACTATTCGGAACACAGGGTACTCGTTTTTACCTGTAATTGATACCTGTGTTGTTTTACTTGTTATTTGATACTTTTTTTTTTTTTTTTCTCGAAGGATCTCCAGTTCTGAGGTCGATCTTCTTAAACACGAGCTGTGTGACCTACGTCACGAAGGCGATGACGTCTTCATCGTCAGTGACGTCAGCACGACCTCCATCACACGGACCATGAAATTCGAGGAGGAAGCGAGGGGCGTGTCCCGCCTTGCCACAGACTTGGAATCTCTGAGATTATCCCCGCCTGCCGGGAAACCGGAAGTCGTGTCTTCCGTCACCGGAACGTCTCACGCGCCATTTTCAAAATCTGAACAGTCGTCAGCACCAGCGTATATACCTCAGTTGTCCGTCCCTGTTGTGTTACGTCACGGCGACCACAGCCGGCACGACCGGCCGCCGTCCTACACGTCCGGCACGCGCAGCGCTCAAACGTCGCGCGCCACGACGCCGGAAACGGGAGAGTTGTCTCCCCCTGTGTCCTTCAGCACGCTGCCGTCTAGAAAATCGGGGCTCCCCGAACCCCCTCCCAGTTTCGTCATTCCCCACAAGTTCCCCCACCCCCGGGCCCAGCCGGCTAAACCCCTGGTCTCCGCCATGTTTTCCGGTCAGTCGTCCCACAAGCCGAAGCGGCCCGTCACCTTCATGAAAAGCCTCTCCGTCGACAGCGCCCCCCTCTCGCCCCCTATTCCACGCCAACCCCAACCCACCAGCATCTCAGCCAGCAACACGCCAACCCACCCTGTCACCTCGGCGGAAATGACGTCATACTTCTCAACACCATCTGTGATCTCCCCGACTTCCGATAATCTCTTATCCGTTTCCGGTTCCGCTGTGCCTAGATCTTCCTCCTTCTCCGCGTCGCCGAGAGACCGAATATCTCCAAGAACGGCGAGGCGGAAATTTTTTGAAGAAACTTCCGCTTCCGGTTCTGCTCCTATTGGCTACCAATCGTGGCCGGAGAGGAGGAGTGTCTCCCCCTCTCTTCACTCCCGACAGCAGTCCCTCCCCAACGCTGATGACGTCAGGCGGGTCGCGGAGGAAGAGCATCAACACGTCATCACGAAACTGGAATCGCTTTCCCAACATCCGGGGATCAGAACATCCACATCTTTCGATGAGAAAATGCATTACACCAACACCACCCCCGTCTCTGCTAAACCTGCAGAATCTTCTTCTAAAACAACAACAAAAGTAGACGCTCCAACTCCTAACGTTGACACGAAGAGCAACAAACACGGAGCAAAAGAAAAAAGAAGGTTTTTCAAAAAAGAGAAAGCGTGTAGCTTAGACTCCACCGTGGGCTCGACCATCGCATCCGTGGGGGTGGCAGCCATGCCGCCCGCCGCGCCCACCGGCTTCACGCCCTCGGAGATTTTCGCCGCGGTCAAAGGAAAATTGAAACCGGTTTTTAAACGCAAGTCGGCTGATTCGGGATCGAAACCCAGCGAGGCCAGGTCACCTTCCCCGCTGTTTATACAGACAGAAGTACCGGAAATACATTTCGCGAGCCAGGGGTCACTTCCGGTGCCAGCACCACATGTGGACGTGGATCAGCTGGAACCGTCGGACCAAGACGAGGTCAAGGAATTTGTAGCAGAAGTGAGTTGTAAACATTGGACTGCTGCGAGAGGGGGGGGGGGTATAAGAATGGTGGGTGGGAGGTTATAAAGTTAGTGGGGAAAGGTTATAAAGTTTGTTGGTGGGGGGGGGGTGAGTCTTAAACATTGGACTGTTTAGGGATGGGTTATGTTATAAAATTTGAGGGGGGGGGGTATAAGGTTTGTTGGGGGGGGTGAGTCTTAAACATTGGACTGTTTAGGGATGAGTTATGTTATAAAATTTGAGGGGGGGTGAGAGGGTAAAAGATTTGTTTGGGGGGGGGGTGAGTCTTAAACATTGGACTGTTTAGGGATAGGTTATGTTATAATATTTGAGAGGGTGGGGGGACGGGAGGGTATAAAGTTTGTAGGAGTAGGGTAGGGAAATAATACACTTGGAGGAGACTATACAATTTGAGGGAGGGGTGGGGGAGATTATAAAGCTTTTTATGTGTGCGGGCGATTATGACGTTTTTAGGAGGGGGGGTATAAAATTTTGTGTGGAGGATACAAAGTTTTTAGAAAGGTGTTGGGAGAAGTTTCAAGTGTGTTGGGGAGTTGGGTAGGTTATAACGTTTGTAGGGGTTGGGCGGTTCTAACTTTTACATGAGTGGGTGGGGAGGTTATATAGTTTGTAGAAGGGGGTTGGAGGCTATAAAGTGTGTGGGTAAGGCGTGCTTGGGTTGGGTTGGGGGGGAGGGGTGGGGTTGGGTTGGGGTTGGGTTGGGTCTGACTTTTGACATTTCGGCTTCACATATTTTAATCATTCAAAAAAGACTAAGCTTTTATAAATGCAAGAATATATAATTACTAACAAAAAAGCTTTAAATATAGTAATGCACCATAATCATTTATGCAACTATTTTTAAGATTTATGTTCGCTAGTTGGTGTGTTGAAATGTTTAGACGTATCTCTTAAGAAAAACAGTACTAACATTTATTTACAACTGAGTACTCTTAAGATTTTGGTGAGCAGCCCAAGCTTTTATTGATAGTTACAAAAATAATGGTGCTTTATTATATCTAGAGCTAATAATTTTACTTAATTATTTTAGTGCACAAATAATGATATGGTAAACCTCAGCGTCGCTAGGTCGGGTGTCATCCGGTGTGTCACCCCCCCCCCTTTTTTTTTTTTGTCTCTGTAAATTTTGCTGTTGGTTTCACCCTCCCCCCCCCCAGAGTTTCTTCCAGGCATCTCTTCGGGGGGCTTCGCCCCCCCGAAAAAATTTTTACCGCCCCCCCCCCCCCCGAACGAAATAAAATTTATATAATTTATATAGAAAATATATACTTTTAACAGTGTCCGCCCCCCCGAAGAAAGTCTACCGCCCCCCCGAAAATTTCAAGTGCCCCCCCGGAGAAAAAAGTCTGGAAGAAACACTGCTCCCCCCCCCCCCTGGTAAAA